GGGGCTCAGATCGCGTCGGGGCGTGCCGGCCGGTCGGGTCAGCGGCTCGGCTTGGCCGCGGACGAGCCCGGCCAGCAGGAGCAGCAGACACATCTGCCGAGTACCGCAGCTCCCAGACGAGGTCCACCGCACTGCCTAAGAACGACACGGTGACGGATGCTGTCAGGCTCTCACGCTACCAGCGATATTACGTTTTATGTTCTATAGCTGCCATATCTTTTTTTCTTCTGCATTCATGAAATCTTGAGAATCCGTAAGGGTTCAGCAGGCTTTAAATGAACGCTATGAAGGTTTGGGAACGGGTTCTCCACTTCGAATGTACTTTTTCTGCGCATTTCGTCCACATCTGATTATCTCAGCAGATCATCATGTGCCCTTCAAAACCGGCTTTCACACTGCTTCGGTGAGCCGTAAGGTTTTAATAAAAGACACGCCTACTGAGTTTTGGCAAATGTGTCTCGCGACCTGCCAACACGGATATTTTCTGCTCTGGGTACACGAAAGATATTTTGAAAGCGGTACAGCATGTTGTGTGGGTGTGCCCGCAACACTTCAGATTTCGATGTTATTCAGGGCCTCTACATGCCCTGTCCTCACAAATGACTTTGGTCATAAGCGTAGACATGTCATTTAGGCGTGAGGGCTGGCAGGGACAGATCCAGGAGAGAGTACTGGGCCATTCCCCCCTTGGGCCCCAACGAGGCTCGTTGGCTCCGAAGTGACCCTATAGCCGGCCGAACGGAAGTAGTTTTTCAGCACCGAACGCAACACAGTTGGGCGTCTTTGAGCTTCCAGGCAACCAAGATCAGTGGCAAGAACAGTTGCAGAGCAATCGGAAGTGAGCGGCCCACGAGTTGACAATAATTCTTCAGTGATTGAGAAGGGCTGTAATTGGGAGATTTTAAGGCTCATTCCGCTGTCCAGGGCCCTATGCTGCTTCCGGGGACCCAATGTTTCCAGCTGCAGAGTCAATCCGATCGTTAAGAAGCCTTTTACCTTTTTTAACTTTTTTGTCCTTAATTTCTTTGCATTTGCCCGTAGAACCCTGCGCTGTCGCTGGGCCTCTTCTTGTTAGCGTGTCGGGCACTCCTGTAAATCAGGGGCCTTCCACGGGCACTTCCCATTTGCCTGAAAGGTTCTTTACGGCATAGCCAGGGTTCTTATGTATCAACTTGCCGGGGTATTCTTGATCGCTCAGGGGCTATTCACGTCGAGCTCGGCTTACTTTTTACTGGGTTCTGGGTGCTTCGTATTTTAATGGAGAGCCCTGCGATCCTGTTGTGGTCGTATCTGGTAGCCTACTCGGGCACACTGGATCGTTCGGGGCCTTCTGCATTAGGTCCTAGGTACTTCGTGTTTGAATAGATAGCCCTACAATCTTGTTGTATTCTTATCTGATAACCTACTCAGGCACACTTGGTCGCTCGGGGGCCCTCTACATTGGGTCTTGGGTACTTCGTATTTGAATGGAGAGCCCTGCAATCTTGTTGTGGTCCCATCTGTTAACTTGCTCGAATACACCGATTGTTCGGGGGCACTCCACACTAGGTCTTGGATGCTTCTTGCATGGGCCCTACGCTCTTGTCGGGGTCTTGTCTGATAACCTACCCGGGCACGCTCGATCGTTTGAGGCCCCTGCACATTGAGTCTTTGGTACTTTCTGTTTTAATGGAGGACCCTACGCTGTTGCCAGGGCCTTATCTGGCTGCTGCTCTGGCGAACTCGGTCGTTCAGGGGCCCTGTACATTATGTCGTGAGTATTTCTCCTTTGAATGGAGGGCCTGCGCTCTTGTTGGGGGCCCCATCTGCTAACCTACTCAGGCACGATGGATCATTCCGGGGCCCTCCATATTGTGTCTTGGGTACATCTTATGTGAATGTATGGCCCAATATTCTGTCAGGGCCCCATCTATTAAGCTGTTCGGGCCAGTGACGGACTCAGAATGAGGGGGGGGGGGGGCACGGGACCATGCCCCCTTTGTGACCCTAGGGAGTCCATAACCGAGGCTTCGAGGTGGCCCATAACCGATCGAAGGGACGCAGTTCTCTCATACAAACCGTAACAAAATTGGACGTCTTTGGGACTCCAGACAACCAAGAAGAGTTGCAAGCGAAAGTAAAGCCTGTGCCCGTGAGCGGACGTCATTTTTTTGGCCGATTGAGAGAACAGTGATTGGGGAAAATTGTGGGGTTCATTGCGTTGTCCAGAGGCGTTTCGCTGTCGCCGGGGCCCTATGTATCCACTTGCCGGTTCAATCCGGCCACTAACGAGACTTCCACGTCACCATGATCTCTTTGTATTTTCTCGTAGGCCCCGACACTGCTGTTGGAGTGCTATCTGATACCTTGCTTGGATACTCTTGATCGAGCAGAAGCCCTCCCAGATTCTTCCCATTTGCCCGAGAGACTATACGCGCTTGCCCCACATTTTGACCCCATGTGCTAGCGTGTACTCAGTTACTCAGGGGCCCTTCATATTAGTCTCGGATTCTTTCGACTTGCTTAGAGGCTTTGTGCTGTTGCTGGGGCGCATATAAGGTAATGCACCGAGATACTCGATGCCCAGGTGCCCTCTTCTTTAATCGAGGGCTTTTGCCTCTGATCTCATTTGCGAAGGATTTTTCAATCCTATCGAGGCTCTTTCTGCTAGTCTGCTCGTGCACTCTTAATCAAAAGTGTCCGGGCAGGTTAACAAAAAAAACCCGATAGACGTGAAGAGTCCTCCGCAAATGAGATCAAACGGAAAGGGCCCTCGATCAAAGAAGAGGGGCCTGAGCATCGGGCTTCTCGGTACCTTAGCATGTATGAGCCCCAGCAACAGCACAAGGCACTTCGAGCAAGCAGAAAGAACCCAAGACTAATATGAAAGGCTCTTGAGCAGCTGAGTGTACCCTGACATATCGGGCCCCAAAAGCGTATGGAGCCTTTCTGACGATTGGAAAGAATCGGTGGAAAAGCCCGTAATTGACAAGAGTGCTCTGGCACGCTATCAGGAAGGGCCCAGCAACAGCGCAGGGCCCTCTGAGAAAATGCAAAGAAATCAAGGGCAACGTAGAGGCCTCCTTAACGATCGAAATGACCCTGCAAGTGAGCACATGGGCCCCCCGGAAACAGCATAAGGTCGCTAGACAATTTAATGAGGCTTACATTCCAAATTCAGAACTTTTTCAATCATTGCATTTTTCTACTTCACGTGGGTCCCTCACCTTCGCTTGCAACTATCCTCGGTCGCCTGGAAATCCATAGACGTTTGTTTTTTTTGGTTGCCCAAAAAATGCACCTTTTCGGCCGGCTATGGGCCCCCTTGGAGCCAATGAGCCCCTTCGGGGTCATGGGCCCCAAAGGGGTCATGGCCCCGTAGCTCTCCCCCTCTGGATCCACCCGTGGATGGGCCTATTATTGTGATCACGACAGACCCTTCACTCGCTATAGTTATTATAGACGCTCCTTAGACTCAGCGGTTGGCTTGTGGAGTGATAAACAGGCCCGGAGGCGCCACTGATCACGGCTTGGCATCTGGCGCTCAAGAGAAGCCAAACATATATCCTGGCCGGGTACTCAAGCGTAAAACATCGTGTGAAACAAGCGATGAGGCAGACCACCAAACGAATAAGATCGGGTAAAATGTCATGACCCTCGAGGTCCTGTTCCCCAAAAGATGTACCCAAGGCTCATTAGAGAGTCCAGAGCGGTCGTCAATATGCCCGATGCCCCGACCCCAAGAGGCCAGCTTCGCTGAGGTCACGCAGCCGTGCGTCCACGTCTCACCGTCCGGGTAGCGGGCTTCATGGCGGCTGCTGGCTGCTGCGGTCGGTTTGTTCCTGACGGCTGCGAGCTGCGGTCGGTTCGTCCCTGACTCCGACCTGCCGGCGACTGGCCGGTCCGTTCTCCCCGACCGTCTCGTCTCTGGTGTGGCGTCGTGACGATGACACGGCGCGCATGGCCGGGCCCGGCAGATACCTGCACGCCATTTTTGCTGGGTGTGCAGAGACGGCCGGTCGGGTGAGCCGTCGCGCGTTCCTAGGCGGCTGAGAACCCAGGGCCTGGCTGCTAATCCAGGCGCTCTCGCTGTCGTGTGCAGACATCGGCTGCTGCGAGGGGGGGGGGGGAGGGGGCACGGCTCCCAGCGCGTCTGTCCGTTAGCTTCCGGCGCGTTGTACTTAACTGTTTGTAGTTTAACGTTTGTGTGCGGCATCGCAGGGATGCGCGTAATGATGTGGCAGCCAATAACGCGCGACTCAGCCATCAGCCGGATCTTCGTATTGGAGCCAGTGGCAGGCAACACCACGAGTGTCCAGGCCTCCTTATCAGAATCCCATGTCTCTGATAACGCCCCGGTAGCCCGATCAGAGCACCACTGGTGTCGAGCCGTCCGTGTCGAACGCTCCGTGTTGAACCGGTCGTGTCGACTCGGTCTTTTCGAACCTTTTGTGTCGAATCGGCCGTGTTGAACCGTTCGTGTCGAACCGGTGATGTCGGGCCGGTCGTGTTGAACTGTTTGTGTCGAACCGGTGATGTCGGGCCGGTCGTGTTGAACCGTTCGTGTCGAACCGGTGATGTCGGGCCGGTCGTGTTGAACCGTTCGTGTCGAGCCGGTGATGTCGGGCCGGTCGTGTTGAATCGTTCGTGTCGAACCGGTGATGTCGGGCCGGTCGTGTTGAACCGTTCGTGTCGAACCGGTGATGTCGGGCCGGCCGTGTTGAACCGTTCGTGTCGAACCGGTGATGTCGGGCCGGTCGTGTTGAACCGTTCGTGTCGAACCGGTGATGTCGGGCCGGTCGTGTTGAACCGTTCGTGTCGAACCGGTGATGTCAAACAGGTCGTGTCGAGCCGTTCGACTTCATTTGTCATTCGAACTGTTCTGGCTCTGTTCGGACCACCACCGCATGCCACCGATGTTGACACGAGCCGCAACATCCCGTGATCGGTGACGTCATGGCGTCGGCACCGATGCGTCTCGCCTGACCGGGCGGCGCATGACCGGGCACCCTGCGCGGCAGACCGGCGCGCGCGGCGTACGTGGGCGCGCTGGCCGGCGCACTGCTGACGTCGGCGCTGCGCCTGCGCCTGCGCCTGCCGCCGGCGCGGCTCAGCCGCGAGTTCGCCGCTGCCGTTCTGCTGGAGGACGCCACCCATTACATGCTGTACGCTCTGCTGTTCCTGTACCCGCCGCCGCTGGGGCCCGTGCTCGTGCCCACCACGCTGCTCGGCTTCCTGCACTCGCACACCTACCTGCTGCAGCTGCTGGACGTGAGAGGTTCGGGGGAGGGGGCGCTTCCGATTCAGGGACCAGCCGCGACCCGGGTAACTGGCATTGGGGTGTGGGGACTCTGTGTCGGCTTGCGTCATTGTTACGGCATATGGTGGCTCTTCTTCCCTCCGGTGTCCTGAGTTGCTTGAATTGGCCGTTCGGTTCTCAACGGCACAGTCGGCCAAAGTCTCGGCCAATCTCGGCCAATCTCGCTGTCAATCTCGACCAATCTCGGCCAATCTCGTCGTCAGTCGTGATGACTGTCTAACCGCGTCCAAGTCAACACTGCGGTAGTCCCGCCCGACCGGCCTGACCTGATCATCTTGACTTGTGCTCCGCCCCGCCGCCAGACGCTGGGACCCGGCCGTGGCGGCCCGGCGCGCTTCCTGCTCTCACAGGTGGAGCAGCGGTCGCACGCGATCCTCACGGTCGTAGCGCTCACCGAGATCATTCTGCTACCCTACTGCATCACTCTGTTGTTCGCGTGAGTGTAGCTATGCCACCCGGTGCTTGAGGCGAGGCAGCGGCATGCCCTAAGTCTTAGTATCGTAATGTCCCCGGTTTGTGCCGCGGGACGTGAACCATGCTGTTCGTGGGTAGGGTGCAGCCGTCTTCGTTGTAAAAAGCTGGATGAGTGATACCAATGGCATTCGCTGTGGAAACAAGCTCCGTCGCCGTCACTGGTTTTTAGTTTGCCGGCCTACACCAATCTCCGGAGCGCTAGGAAGTTCTGCGGCTTTGCTTACCATTCATATGCAAGTGTGGCTGGTCAGAGTTTTTTCTTAATCGGCCTGGTGGAGGTAACGGAGTAGCCAAGGTTTTTTTAGAAAAAGAATTCTCGGTGAAACCCCAGGACTATTTACGTGTAATCATAGCAATGGGCAGTACCGCTTCAGCAACGTCAGGACAAAGTGTGGATCTCAATTTCAACTATCTTCGAGTCCAGTTTACGTAAACTGCGCTAGCAATCGTGACAACAACCGTGCGCATCTCTACTGGTGCAAATAAAAAAAAACAACTTGTGGTTGCCTCGGCGGGCAACGGCCTGCTACCGAGAAGTTGGTTGATTGAAGTTTGAACCAGTGGATCACATGATACTTCCACAGTAGTATCACATGGATCATGTGATACTTCCATTTCCATAGCCAAAATGCGCCTCGAGAAGAGCCTCTGCGGTAAACGCCAGAAGGAAGAAATGGCACTAAGTTTCGTTGAAGTCGCGAGATAAAAGCTTCCTGTTCGCGTATCTTTTTCACTAAACGTATTGTTTCAAGCTTTCGCAGCTTTTATTACGCAAACCTTTTGACACCTTAATGTGTTGCAAATATTACAGAACATGCAAGTAGGAAAAACCAGCGCAAATGTAATGTATTTCCTTCATAGTGGTGAGCATAAATTCAAATAAGATTTCTTCCGCAGGGCCGGCTGCTTCAAATAGAAATTCTGAGGTATTCAGAAGGATTTCGAGACAACTGGCCGTAGTTATCAAACTGTACGCGTCTGATGTAACAAGCGAGAAGTACAAAAAGGATGGGATAATCTCTGAGGCTCTGCATGAAGGGCAGCAGACGCCAATTCGTGCGGTGCACTCATATTTTGGTGCAAATAGACATCGCTGATTCATTGACATACTTATATGTCATGCATGCCATACGCCATGGGTGTGTAGGCTTATCTCGCGACAGAGGTACACTGGGGTACTGGCAGCGCAATATATAAGTTCGTAAATTGGTTGGTTCATCATATATGTAGCGTTTTTATCAACAGAAGTAAAAAACGGTGTGCTTTTACTATATAAATAATTTTCATCTTAAAATAAATAACATAACGACTTCATTCTTAGGCACCCAAACCGTTGAAATTACCAAACGTGAAATTAACCACTTTCCAAACTCACATCACGGGGAGAAACCGCACCCAGATGTCGTCGTCCGGCCGTGGTAGCGACGTCAGATCACGCCGCCCGGCCGTGGTAGCGACGTCAGATCACGCCGCCCGGCCGTGGTAGCGACGTCAGATCACGCCGCCCGGCCGTGGCAGCAACGTCAGATCACGCCGCCCGGCCGTGGTAGCGACGTCAGATCACGCCGCCCGGCCGTGGCAGCAACGTCAGATCACGCCGCCCGGCCGTGGTAGCGACGTCAGATCACGCCGCCCGGCCGTGGTAGCAACGTCAGATCACGCCGCCCGGCCGTGGTAGCAACGTCAGCTCACGCCGCCCGGCCGTGGTAGCGACGTCAGATCACGCCGCCCGGCCGTGGTAGCAATGTCAGATCACGCCGCCCGACTGTGGTAGCAACGCCAGATCACGCCGACCGGCCGTGGTAGCGAGGTCAGATCACGCCGCCCGACCGTGGTAGCAACGCCAGATCACGCCGCCCGGCCGTGGTAGCAACGTCAGATCACGCCGCCCAGCCGTGGTAGCAACGTCAGATCACGCCGCCCGGCTGTGGAAGCGAGGTCAGATCACGCCGCCCGGCCGTGGTAGCGAGGTCAGAGCACGTTGCTGGACAGAGGAGAGAACAGACCGTTTATCTGAAAAAGCAGAGCCGGCCACACGCGCTCAACCGCAAACCATGGGCCCGCCTTTTTGGGGGGCTTTTTAAGGACCGATGCCAAATCTCGATAAACACCACATGCCAACGTGAAACCCTCTGCATGGTGTATACAAACATATGCACCCGTGCGCCCGATTACTACGTCAGGGAACCTCCAACTGCAAAGACGCATGAAGGAGAGCCTTCCAATGCATTTCAAGTACCCGCTTGCGTGTGCTCCAAACGTGTCTGACACCACCAAACAAGATGCGCATTGGCAACCGTAAGCGTGGCAGCCCGCGGGGAGGGGGGGGGGTTGCAAGCGGCGATGACCTCCGCCATATTTCGGAGAAGTTTAAGATTAACGTATTCGTAAGATGAGCGAAGGATGCAATTTGAGACAAGATATGGATCACACGTTTTGGACGCTCCCACGCCTTCTTAATAGCCCCCACGAATATTTGCAGCCCGCTGATCCTTCACCTTGCAAATTATTCTTCTGTTGTACATATGCGTGTCGCGACATAACTACAACTGAGCATTAAAGCATAGCGAATGTGCTAATTAAGTGCGCCGGAGGCATTCAGGTTCCTGAAGGCACACAGATTGTGCTTTTGCGGTCATTCAGACGTCACTGATACTGTCCTCCTGTCGGTCGTTTGCCGCGTGCCGTCGTTGCCTCGCCGCCGCCAGTGAGCTGACGGCTGTGTAATCGTGCAGCGGGCGCAGCTGGGTGCCGGTGCCCTTCGTCTACTATCGGTTCCTGACGCTGCGCTTCTCGTCCCGGCGCAACCCGCACACGCGCGCGCTCTTCTCGGCGGCGCGACGGGCGGCAGAGGCGACCGCCGACAGCACCACCTGTCCGGCGCCGGTGGCCGCCGTCGTCCGCCGCGGCGTGGCGCTGGTGTCGGCGCTGCGTCCCAGCATGGCGCCGCCGGCCGGGTAGCCTCGCGCCGGCCGCCGCCCGCGGTCGCCGACGCTGGGGCGCCGCTCAGGCGTCCGGAGGTCTCGACGAGGCTGGCCGGCCGGACGCTGTCTGACGGCCAGAGCTTGGGTGGGTTGGGGTCGAGCGCGCGTGTGGCTGTGATAAGAAATTCGTTGGTGTAAAACTTTAACGCGCGGTGCCCACCTAGTGCCCTATCCTTTATTTTTGCCGTCGTCGGTGATCAGTGTTTTCAAATCGGGTTGTTTGCCTTGACGACTCTTGTTTCAAAGATAGATATTTTCAATATACTTGAGACTCAGACGTTTTGCACTGTTGAAGGAGAAGATGTCGAAAATTCGAAGAGGTGATGCGACCATGGGACGACGATTCGACCGATACGACGGGCCGCCAGTGCCTCAGCGGGAGCATCTTGTCACGATTTGACCGGTGTGGAATCACTAATGAGTCATTACTAATCCACTGTTGGTAGTGTTATCTTATCGGATTGCTTGGCGAATACCACCAGCTCCACCATTTTGCGACTCACACGTGTGCCACTGTTGAGCGAAACATGGGGTACGCTTCTCTGGGCCAACCCGTGCTTCTCGAAGGCTGTCCATATTGCAGCCAATTGCTGTTAATCCCATTCCAGGTGTGAAGTCAAAAAGTTGTCAAACATTTGGAAACCGGCTTAACATGAGTGAGTTAGCGGGATTTAAACATATTTAGGCGCCAACAGAATACGAGATGTTATTTTGATGCTATCACATGAGCAGGATGCTATGAATTAGAGTGCATCTAGTTTGTATTTAGCTTGCCACTGTTAATGTATTTTTCGGTGTTTATTGTTAATGTGTTTTTGTGCGATGTTTCTTGTTAATGTTATTTCAGGGTGTTTATGCATGTCTGGTGCAATAATCCTTTTTGGCTAATATGTATGGAAGGGGCTCAGATGATCATGGGGGAGGCCCAGATGAACATTGGGGGTGTGGGGAGGGGGCTGAGGCCCCCGAACGTGTACGAAGTAACGTCCCTGGTTAGCGGGCGCCCAGCCACCGTCATTAAATTACAAACAGGCAAAGTCGCATGTTCTGGTTACTACCTCGCTAAGTGAAAAAACAGCCCCTTTCCAGAACTACACCCCCTGCCTTTTTTGAGGTGTCGAGCCTTGCACGGGTAGAAACACCTTGTCTAGCCCGGTGCCCCTACCCTACCAAGACTCGGACTGCGCCAATGGTCAGCTATCACGCGACTGCCGCGTCTTGGCCATAATGACCGCCATTCCAGCCCTTCCCACGCCTTGGCCCGGAGCCAGAATCCGTGCGTGCGGGAACAACGGTGCGCCTCTGCCACGCCTCTGAAGACTGGAGCCGCGCTGACTTGAGGAGGGGATGGGGGGCCCGTGATGCGCCGCCCGGGGCGCGGTGCACTGTCGCAAGGTGGGCTGGAGCCGCGCCGGCTCCGGGAGGGGAGGGGAGCCTGTGATGCGCCGCCCTGGGCGCGGTGCACTGTCGCAAGGTAGGATGACCGCGCGCTTTCAGGCCGGCTCCTTACATCACGGGGATCACACAGTGGCGGCGGCGTCGTCCGAGCGGCTCCACCGCGCGGCGCCATCTGTTTGCCGCCCGAGCTCCGCGTCTGGCTGCGCTTCTGCGCGGCTGCAGTTCAAGGTCACGGCGATCGACCGCGGCGGCAGTTGGCGGCGTCTGGGCGGTCGTCGGTGTGTGTGTAGGCGCTCTCGGGTGTGGTCGGCGCGGGCGCGGCGCTGCAGGAGTTCAGCTGTGAGTAACCCGTTGACGGACGCGATGCACGGACCACCGTCGAGCGCTGGCAACTTCGGACCGCCGTTCCGCGGCGGGCCGTCGTTCCAAGGCGGGCCGCCGTGCCACGGCGGGTTGCGCCGCTCGTGCTGGGAGGCGCTCGACGGACCGACCGGTCGCCGGCTGGTGCAGCTGGCGGCCGGCGCCGTCGCCGTCGGGCTCGGCCTCAAGCTGTACAGCCGGTACAAGCGGCAACAGCGGCGCCAGCGGTGGCAACAGGAGGGCAAGGACGTGGTGGTGCTGCACACGTTCCCGCGCGCCACCTCCTGTCCCAACATGTCGCCGTTCGCGCTCAAGATCGAGACGTACTGCCGCATGGCTGGCATCGCGTACGTCATCGACACGGAGGAGCCGATGGGCTCCAAGAACAAGTCGCCCTGGATCACCATCAACGGGGAGGAAGTGCAGGACTCTGAGCTGATTCTCGACTACCTGGAGAAACACTTCAACCGGCCGTTGGTGGCGACCGCCAAGCTTTCGCCCGAGCAGCACGCCACAGGTCGCCTGGTGCAGGTCATGCTGGATGAGCACGCCATGGGCTGTATGGCCATGAAGCGGTACATCATCGACCGCATGGAGTACGTGCGCACGATCGTACCGGAGAAGATGAAGCGCATGGTGACCGTATATCGCATCTTTTTCTCTGCCTCCATGAAGAAGGCCATGTACATAAAGGGCGTGGGCCGCTTCACTGAGCAGGAGGTGCTGTTCTTCCTCTACCGCGACCTGCAGGCGCTGGCAGACATCCTGGGCAAGAAGCCGTTCCTGCTGGGCTCCGAGGCGACCGCGTACGACGCGGCAGCTTTCGCCAGTCTGACGCAGGCGCTGTGCGCCACGGCGCCCGAGGTGGAGCTGCAGGTGCGTCAGAAGCATGACAACCTCGTCCAGTACTTCGACCGGATGAAGGCGAAGTTCTGGTCCGACTGGGACCAGCTGTGCGAGAAGTAGGCGAGCGGACGCGGTAGACCGTGTAGTGATGTGTTGCCTACGGCTGCTTGTAGAGCTTGTGTTGTCATCCAGCCTTGGGAATCGGCCACTTGCATCTTATTCTTTTAGTAGTTGTGCTTTTCGCGGCGCGTGATGCGTGTTCTCCGGCTTGGGACAAGTACTCCGCATATGTTCAACACGCTGATGCGAAATTTGAAACTAACCGGTCGCAAGGCGAGACGGGTGCTGGTTGTTGGGTGATGTCGGCAGCGCCAGCACGTGCAAGGGGGTGTCACGTTGTTCCTGGAAAGGGGTGTTTGTTTTTGCACTATTGACACTCGAATACACGTGATGGATGAACAAACTTCTGTACTAAGTGTGCAGAGGCGAACGTTTCGTCACATCTGAACGCACGCTACCACAGTCTAACGACCACGCTGCCTGTCTCGTGCTTCCAGCAGCTGTCTGTTTCGTTCTACGGGTTGCAACACTACACGGTGTGTGCCGTGCATCTGGCAGCCCATGACTTCTGCTGCAGCTAGACAATGATTCTGACATGGTCAAAACCCCTATGGCATGCGCGCTCACTCGGGGACATCATGACGTCGGTCCGGCCAACTGTGCTATGGTGTGGCATGCAGTCGTCGCCCTTTGCGCTGCTCAGGGCATTTTAAGCCACGTTTTCGAGGGTCCAGAAAAGTCACTGCTCGAGTGTCAAGGACTGCCTTGCACAGAGCTTGTAGGTGCTGTATGCGCAGGAGCCGTGTGGACAAGAGACCACTGCCTCAACCACCTGTCTTGTGCAGGGTCTGTTTGTGTCGTATCCGCAGGAACGGAGTGGACAAGAAAGCACTGCCTCAACCGCCTTTCGTGAAGTTGAATGTGATCATGCTGCTGCATGGCAGCATCTGCTTGGGGATTGGTTTTGCTCCAGCCTCCTGGCCAATGGGTGGCGTCTGAGGTGACGTGGCCGTGGGAAAACTAGTGAAAACATGGAAGAACAGAGCAGAACAGAAATTTTAGCATGGGACAAGAAACATCGTAGATGTTTTGGCTTAGAATATCAGATTCAGAATATTTGGCACCCCGTAAATAGTAGCAGGAAGTAGATATGTAGAAAGCAGTAGTGGTGTAAATGTATGGTAAGAGAGTGATAGAGATTGCTTAGTGCAAGTGGGGGCTATGTTCAGCACTTTCCCAAGTAGGATAGGGTGGGGCAAAACGACTCCTAGTTTTGTTTAAAACATGCCTTTAGATTGAGGTGCGTAATCGGGCCAACTGAAGTATCAGTGGATGTGTACGTCCAATTGTTTATGTCCAATAAACATAACATACACCGGTAAAAAACACCGCTCCCTTGCCGTTCCCTGTTGCCTGATGCTGTCCACCCCACACACCGCAAAGGACTTTGATGCCTCGGTCTCTCTAATATTTTTTTCGCGATGTTTTGTATGCCCATGTAGGGAGCGCAAAGCTCAGGACGTAGGTAAAGTCGCAGTCTTTAGCAAGGTTCAAAACGTCACTCAAGTCGCTACTGGTCACAGGACGCAAAAACTGGCACTCCGTAGCCAGAAAAACAAACTTTGGCACAACAGTGCCCACACGTGGCTCTTGAGCTTTCCCTCTACTACCGACGTATGTCACACACATGACATCTGTCTTTGGTTGATATTCGTGCATGGCCCAGACGCTCATTTTAAGTATTTCGTGCACTGAGTCCAGGATTTGCGACGCAGGCAAACGTGGCACCTGGTGTGCACGTGGCCTTGCTTCTCTCCCACCATCACGTTACCTTTTTCCCGCGTCGCAGTCTTCTGCGCCACTTTTGCCCCTCTCCCCTGTCCCTAGCCTTTTGCCTTGGCTTTTTGACCTGCAGCGACCCTTTTGTATGGCGAAGAGGATACCACAGCGCCCTTTTCCCTTGGCCTTGTGCGCTTGCGTTTTGGAGTCCCTGGCAACGGGGACAGGTTGTGAACGATTCTGAACGCCTCTAGGACCTGCCAAAGGCTCGTTATGCTTTTTCAGAGCTGGCCATTGTTTAAGACCTCATTGTCCGTGCGGGTGGAGTCGGCTCCGACTCTGCACCATATTCTGCTCCGCCGTCCGTAGCGTTCCGAGCACGCTGTCACCGTCCCTGCCCGACTCCACATCCGGTGCCAACTCCTGGGTCATCGCCGATCCCATGAAGTTGTGGTCAAAAACACTTCGGAATTCGACGTCAACAGGCCGCTGACGCTGAAACGTTTGGGAGCCTTTTCGGGGGCAGTTACACGGTTGAAGGTGGTGACAAAAATAGCACCCATCTCGTACTGCGCCGCTTGCTCGCCAGGGTTTGAGATGGATGAGTTTTTATCCCGACGTTGTGAGCTTTTCGACTAAGAGGCGCCTTCGACAAATTGCCTCTTACTAGCAGTGACACACGTAAGGAAAGGATGTAGCACGGTAAGCTCCCTAGTAGCCAGAGCACTGCCTTTGAAAGGAGGAGGGGGCAGTGGGACAACTCAGCCTCATCCCCAAACGACCAAATGGGGCGCCTCAGAGTAACGCAGATCCAAGCTTGTTGGGGTCGCAAAGCATGAAACGGGCTGTAAAAAGGCGGTCAACGTTTTTTGAAGGTACTTCCAAAATTTTGGAGATTTGCCTTTCATCTTACACTTAGAACGATGTCACAGGGCTCAAATCCGAGGACAAACCAAAATTAAGCCGTAAATTGCCTGCAGTCGGCAGCGAGCCAGCTTGCCCCGAATCCTAAAAACTTTGCCAACGCCTGTCAGCCAGAGGAAAGGTCACATTAGCTTTCAAGACCACCCAAAATCTAAGAATGCAAAACAAAAAGGACGAAGAACGGGCACACATCATGCTTCGGAGTAAATTATCGGCTAAATTTGCTATGAGCTGATGAGGTCGTCTGTTTTGCGCATGGGCTCCCTTGGTTTCCAACGACTGTCTCAATCCTGCGTGTTTCTTCCTGCTCTAAATCGTGCGCACGTCACCATCGTAAGTAGCTTCTTTTCAGTAGAATTTAACGGCAGCTGTAGCGTAATGTTATAGCTGCCGTTGTATAGCTGCAGCTCTGACGATTGCGATCTAAGCCTTATCATCCTCGAAAATATAACCAGATTAACAACTGAATGCTCTAACCATGCCTACGATTGTGCAGGGTTACTACATAAAGGTAAGCCACAATTTCTCGTCTGGTGGGGAGGGACTAAACGGCCGACCAAACCTGTTGGCAGCACCATGCTCTGATCCTATGAGACCGATGAACATGACAGTTTCCCAATTAAATGTCGCTTGGTCGTTAACGTTAACTTTCCACAACATGGCAATCTTTGGTTAGGTCATAGGTCACCGAAAACACCAAAAATCCGAAAAATAGGTTTGCAAACAACCCCATGCTCCGAACCTATGTGACCGATCGGATGAAATCTTCACCAATCGATGCACAATGGTTAACATACTACCCTTTCCATAACATGGTGACCTTTTTTGTTTTTTGGTGACCTTCGACCTGACCAAAGGTCACCTTGTTTTGAAACGAACAGGATTTTGACTATGGCGCATAGATTGGTAAAGGTTTCATGCTGATCGGCGCCATAGGCTCGGAGTATGGGGTTGTCTGCAAACCTGTTTTCCGGTTTTCGTTTTTTCAGTGACATTTGGCCTGACCCAAGGTCATCATGTTCTGGAAAGAATAGGATGTTGGAGCCTGATAACTAATTTCAGGTGCTTTCAGCCATTTTTGGTGACCTTTGACCCAATTCAAGGTCACTCTGTTCTAGAGTGGATGAGGTATCGACTATGGCACATCGTTTGGTAAAGGTTTGGTGCGTGTCTGTTGCGTAGATTGGGGGCATGGGATTGTTTGCAAATTAATTTGAAGTGGCTTGGGCCGTCTTTGATAACCTGTAACCTGAGTCAAGGTCGCCACGTTCTGGAAAAGACAGGATATCGGCTATGGAGCATCGATCGGCGAAACTTTGGTGCCGATTGGTTCCATAGGCTCGGAGTATGTGGTTGTCTGCAGACTAATTTGAAATGGTTTTAGCCGTTTTTTTGTTGTTGATATTTGACCTGACTCAAGGCCCCCATGTTTTGGAAAAGCAGGATATCGACTGTGGCGTATCGATTGGTGAAGGTTTCATGTCAGTCGGTCCCGTGGGCTCGAAGCGAGGAGTTGTCAACAGGTTTGGTTGGCCGTTTAGTCCCTCTCGCTTGGTAAACCTGATCGCCTCACGGGCAAAGCGCCCTCCCCAGCCCCCAACCCGGAGCGTGCATGGTGCGCTTGCATACGGCACATTACCCCACCCGTGCCTCAATACGACTGAAGATTATTTGGAGAAACATGTTCCAGATTTGTCACATTTTATTCCCAGGCCAAAGCCAGCAAAATCACTGTTTTTTTCATTAGAGAACATATCTGGACCAGTTGAAGTTGAACCAGTTGAAGCTTGAAGTTTAAGTACAAGAAGACTCCTCAGCTCTGCTTAAAAAGCTCCATTTATCGCTAAAAACTTGCGTTCTTTGTTCCTCATCTACCATTCACACCAGGTCCCCAGGTCCATACCGACACGCAGACGATTATGTGATACGGTGGTACCTGACCGACGTACAGGCCTATAGCGGAATAACACTTCGACCAGCCTTTCATGCGTTTAGACCCTCCAATTGGCCCTTGATCTACGGACGCGTTGGGGTCTCTAGACTCTTCGGGCCTCCTCGATCACTGTCTCTAGCCGACTCAGGGTGCCTTGACAACACAGGGCCCCCGTTAGGTGCTGTTGGGCTCGAGCAATGTAAATCGCTGGCCCCTGCTTTGTCCTAGCTTGGGAAATGAGCTCCTAGGCACATGCTGTCACGCAGCTGACTGTGCGTTACTGGTGGTGTCTTACCGAAATATAAGCCCTTATCGACTCAGTGGTGCCCTGATCAGAGCGCAGGGCCCTCTGGCTGGTGCTGGAGTACCAGGCCCTGCGAGCCGGGCTCCCTGGATGAGACCTCTAGCTGGCCGTTCAGGCCCTTAAGCGTAGGTCCCGAGGAACCTTTCGGACCCCACGGAACCTAAGGGGGGGGGGGCGTGCCCCCTGTACCCTCCCCCTGCCTGCGCTACAGGTTCCCCTTAACAGATTGGGAGGCCCCGTTTCCCCTAATTAAAGGCATTGCAGCTACACGTAGAGCCCTAAAATTCAGATCATAGCGGCCCGCACAACTGAGTCAGAAAGTAATAGATCGGTCTCAGAAAGTCCTTTTCTACATCAAAAGGCATATTTTCTGGGTCTTGAGGTCACCTCTGTAAATAAGGTAGCCAATGATCTAGACAAAAAGGCCCGTGTTGTGTTAAGAAGGCCCCTTTGCTGGCTCGGG